TTTTTATAACTACGTAATAGAATAGATATCAATGTATACCTACTTAATAGGATAAGTATTAAGATATACTTACATAGTATAAGAAATAGGTTATTGGAATTGAAAATTAGAATTTTTATTTTTACATAAAATAAATTAAAAAAAGCGTTTCTTTTTATTGTTGAAAAAAAACAATAGTTGCTTCTAATAAATAATCGCTTTAACATTTTTAACTATTGTTTTATCTAGTTAGAGTAAGTTTGCCAGATCAGTTTAATTTTAGTATTTTTAAAATACATTTGTTTTTAAGTTATAACTTTTAATAGTGATTGTTATGTGAATTCGTACATTATATATTTTATCCTGTAAATACTTATGTTTGTGTTTGTAACAAAGAGTTAATAAAGTACTATTTCTGTAAGAAAATTATTTTTTATCATTTCATTTATTAAAGGTTCTACAACAATATATATTTTGTAGGAAGTAAGCTGAAGTGGTAATGGGCTGGTCACATAGCTCGATAAACCAATCGAGCAGAAATGTACGCGCAAACGCAGCGTAGAACGACCGGCCCCAAGATAGAGTGATGACAGACATTTGCAGGGCGTTAGTCACTTACCGTTCCTTATGGCAGTCTATGGGGAAGGTTTATGTTCAGCAATGGATAGATAATGGTTGAGATGATGATCACATATTGTGTGGTTTTTCCTTATTATAATGTTACGTTTGTAAACAAATTCTGAAGTCAAAGTTGACATGGACAGGATACTTGGTTAGAAGGAAAGATAGACTGTGGATCAAAACCGTGACAGGATGGTGTCCAAAACAGGGCAGTCGATAGATCTATCCAATGATCGATAGTTGCACTGTTATAAGTGGCGCAACAAAAAGGATGCCTATGCCCACCAGTAGGTTAATGTGGGCTAAATAGATAGATATTACTTATGATCTAAATTTATTCAAGAATAATTTATATTATCTAATTACATAAATAATAATACATTTTACATCTGATGAGTTCGCGGACCATCATTTTGTTTGCCATAATAATAAGATGTATATATGTATATGCAACTATGTAGTTGCAAACGACCATAAACTCCGGTATTTTTTTATTATTGTTACTTCATAGCTACGTCAGTTATAAACAGATTTGGAAAATTCCTTTTTATCTGAAAAAATATACTTACAGATTACTCCCGAAAAAATTTTATCAAAATCGGTTCGGAAGTTTAGTTTTTAAATCAAAATGAGTGGTTTTACCACAGTTAAATTAGTTTTTTTTGTGGAATACGAGTTTTAATTGTATTATTATAAAGAAACTTAGTAAATAAATATACTTGTCATAATGTATCCTTCCAAAGTTTCGTAATAAGTTAATGAAAAGGATTTTTCATAAATTAAATGCCATGAATTTATACAATGTTTTAATCGATCTTTTATACAAACATTAAATAAGACATCATTTACTTAAGTAATAAGTACGCACTAATAGATTTAACAAAATAATTCTACCTAATTAAGTATCTATGGTTTGAAATCTCCGCATTTATCTTTATTACCCTTACTGCTGACTTTCCTATTTATGATTATTTACTAAGGAGTTCCTGTAATTTACCAACTAAACAAAATATAATGGATGTACGCCCGTAAAGTTGGGGTTAACAGCTACATAATCAGTAAAAACAAAAGTATATTGTCAAAGGGAATGTTGGTGGCTCGGGACCGTTCCTTATGGCAGTGTATGGGGGAGGCCTATGTTCAGGAAAGGACAGTTAACAGTCCTGTTATAATGTAATATTTAATGATGGACAGATGGGTAATTTACAATATATAGGATTATCTTGTCGGTTAGAACTGAAGATGTAACCATAAAGTGATTTTTTTCCACACATGAAATGTCTCATTTACATAGGTCATTAAATAGGTAAATACAAACAAACATGGCAACACAATATTGATACACCATTAAAAATAATTTTAATTTATCTCTAAAAATAATCTCTAAATTGGGTTTCTGTAAGTCATTCAGGCCCAGATATAAATTATCCAACAAAACAGAATATGGTGAAACTCTCATAGAGAACTCCCTTATAAGTCGCAGTACTAGTAAGTCAAACAAATCCGCAATGACAGACAGATTTGGTTCTTGATTTGTTAGACTATCATTTAACAATAGAAACATTAAACTATCAGATAAATTCCAAATATATCTCGTAAAAACAATATTTACATTACATTCGTTTAACATTCAATAACACTTTATTATTTCTATTCTCAATATTTGCCTTAATATATACAAATTTAGTGTCACAATATTTGTATACGCTAAATCTCCAAAACCAATCAACCAAAATCCAAAACAAAACGAAATTTTATAAAAGTATATTTTTGGTTTCTACTTGATATATTCCAATAAGATGAAATGGACTCGATAGATAAAGGTACGGGGTAAAATAATTTTTTGCTGGGTTAACTGGTACTTATGGATTAAATTTATTCAAACTTTGGCAAAATCTATTTTATTATTATCAAAAATCTTATAAATAAGCCATAAATATAAATTTATGTCTTATTTATAAGATTTTTGACATATATTAAAACCTAATGATAGATTCCTTAACAGTGGGTGGAGTAATTTTATTATTATTTATTATCCCATGAATTCACATTCCGTTCAGTTATTTATAAGGTACAGTAGGTATACAAAAAATAAATAAAGGATCTGGAGATCCTTCAATTATTTTTTTTGTATACTGTACCAATTCTAATATAGAGCTATTTCCTCCATAGATATTTGTGCTCCATAGTTAAATTGACTCAGAATGGTGAGGCATCTTTTGTGACATAATAAAAGACCATAGATAAAGATGACGTCGTTTTAGATTCTACTGTTGATAATTTCACTCATGGACACGATATATTTTTGAAGATAAGTTTAACAGAAATAAAATATTTTATAGAGTAATACAGTCATACAATATCGGAGTTAAGATATTCGAGTTTTTAAGATATACGAGTAATAATAAAGTAACAATAAAAGGAACCATATGGTTGTTATAAGAAATGACGCCATTTGTTAATATTACACAAAAGTTCCAAACCCCTTTAACTATAACTAGTTCGGTCTCTGAAATATTTACAAAAATTTATCAGCTTTAATGTTTATAAAAACTCTTATGGCACAAGTAATTTGACAATATATACACTAATCTTATTAATATTACATCAATATTCAATTTCACATCATTACATCAATTTTCAAACATGGACCGACCTTTCCGTCTATAACTACATACATAAAACATATATAAAACATCTAGATAAATAATATTTATTGTTCCCTACAAAAAATTACCGTAATAAATTTTGTAAAATAAAAATCACATTGAGAAAACAATGGGCGGCTTTATCCCTTTTATAAACAGTTAACGTTGGGATTTTGCACAAATTCAAATTTATTCATATTTATTTTTTATATCTATAGTAAGTATATATACCTACTTATACAAATAAAAAATACAAGTAGCAAACATTTTTAAATTATAATATAAATATTTTAAATTTTATTTTTAAGAATAAATGTAGCATTTTGACACGTTTAATGCCACTGCAATTTTCAGAAATCTCACCTAAAATGACAATTTGATTTAATCACATTATGTTGTTAAAACACATTAGTGTTTTAATAATATAATGTGATTAAATCAAATTGTCATAGTTATCATCAAAAAGCATAAAAAAATAAAAAAAAAATATATTTATTTACTTATTAAATTCTTTATTGTACACATCAGTTATTTATAAGAATGTGCTGTCATATGTCATACGTGGTAATCAAATGTACAATGTTATATTAATATATAACATTGTACATTTGATTACCTCTGTCATATTCTTATAAATTTGAATTAAGTTTTATAATTATATTTTTGGTTAGTTTTTTAATATTTTTTTTTTTGTTTTTAGATTTTTTGTTCTATTCCCAGAAGCGATGTACAAAAATTACAGTATAGCGTAAATATGGCAGTATGGCGTAAATATAGGATAAGTCGTAATTGGTATCTTACAAAAGAACGCAATCTACGAGTTATCTCGTAGTTAGCAGCCAACGTGTTAATAGTTATAGAAACTCTTTTGGCACAAACAACTTTGCTGTAGATACATCAAATGTCATGTCCAGAGACCATATATATTACTATCTATATACTCGTACATGGAATAAAATTAATTGTAACTGTAACGAATAAGAAAAATAGTAATGCTTCGGTTTCTATTATTATATAAAATAATTTAAACAATAATAATTTTTATTTGTCTCTGTCTGTATGTATGTTTCAGCATCACGTAAAAAGCTGACCCAAAATTAGATACGGTTTCATACAGTTATGCTTTTGAAGGTCGAACAAAACTACTACTATATTAGATTTTATTATGTACATCTAAAATCCACGCGTACGAAGTCGCAGACAAAAACTAGTCCTCAATAAAATAAGTATATACTTAGTTTCTGGCAATACATTACATCATATTCAATTACATTCCATCGTCACTATTTTTCTACGCCGTATAGAGTTCCAACACAGAATAAGACCTGTCTCCGTTTATAGCCTTATTGGAGCTGATTGGAAAGAGGGTCTTTGACTAAATTAATTCTATCATTAACTAGTTCTGTATCTAAAAATATTTACATAGCTTTTGAGCACATTTTTAGTAGTTTTAAAAATATTAATGCCACAGGACGTAGACGACTTGACAATTGACAATATAAAATGTACAGGTATATATCTATAAATTTATAGATGAATTCAAAATCATTCAAATTATTTTAAAGCAGCGAAACGGAACATTTGCTCCAATGATTATTGATACGACAGTTGAACGCATTTGATTGGTATGACCTGATACCCTATATTTTTTGTATTTTTTTTTTTCTTGTAGAAAAACGTCGAATTTCATTAATAAATTAGGCTAAAACTATTTCACATTGAACTACACTCCGTCATCACTATTAACATCGTATAAAATATCATCTTCGTCACATTGACTCAGAATAAATCAAATCATTGACGAAATCAGTTTTATAATTATCTAAGTATATTCGCACTTTTAGTTATAAAAAATTTTATGACTTAGATTTCTTAACGGCGAGGATAGTAATTACACTACATCAATTTATATTACATTACACCAAATTACACTACACCAATTCACATTACACTACAGCGTTACTAGTCTTACACCCTGTATAAAATTCTAACACAGATTCTTCTCCGTCCATTGCTACATCGACGCAAAATGGTGGAGGGTCTTTGACGAAATCAATTTTATTGATGAACGAGATGCGCGGGTCTCTTCTGCAGGATCGGTTGCTGCGAGCCGAGTCTCGACAACTGGTCAGGTCGAGGTTTCCCGAACACCGGCGGCGTTTACGGCATAGCAACGTTTCTTGGAAAGCTTGGCGGTACCTGAAAAGCAATAGCAATATATTAGCAACCTCTTTGCACAAATGAATCTTGGAATTGTACATGTCACTTAAATTCGCATTTATAGGTGTCAAATATAATGGACCAGGGCCGTCTCAAATATATTCAGCGTGTGGGTGCAAAAAAATCTCCTGAGGTGTGCCCTTTTCGTTTTCAAGGTTATAAATTTTCAAATTTGGATTTTTTTTAAACCATAAAGGTGGTAAGCGATCACTGTAGCCTTTAGACGCCTTCAATATTAGGGGTATCACGTGCGCGTTACCTACCCTGAAGAAGCCTTAATATACCCTTTCTTAAGAAACCCAAACTAGTAGTCTCTAGAAAAAACTAGAAAATTTCTATATGAAAAATTCCCATGTGGAAGTAACATTTATATATACAGTGAGTGTAAAAAGTATTCGTACACCTAGGGTTATAATAAAAAAAATACGAATTTGATAGACTTTCCTCTATTTATTTAATTTAAATCAATACTGTTAAATAGTTTAACATTCCCGCACTTTGTTTATGAAAATTTTTGTTTTTAAAAAAAAATATTATACAACATAAAAATATTTTTACGTTAACTAAGTAAATAATGACAAACAAAAAGTATTCGTACATTCATTCTTTTTTAAATGAAATTCTGTATAAATCATTTATTCAATCGAATTTTTCATATGCCTACAATGCCAAGGTAATTTTTAATACGTAGGTATAAATATTAGACGTTTTAGTTACACTCGTGACAAGTATAGACGTGTTTAGTTACAAAAATGGGTCGTAAAGCAAAAGAAACGAGTGAAGAGGAGAGAAAAATAATTATTAATTTGCATAATCAATGCAAATCATTATGTGAAATTGCAAAATTTGTCAATAGACCACGTTCAACCGTACAGACTGTAATTGATCGGTTTTCTATTACTAAAACACTAAAAAACAAACTCAGAGGTGGGGCGTCCATCAAAAATCACGCCTCGATTGGATCGGAAAATTTTAAATTGTGTAAAAAAAAATCCAAAAATTAGTGCCCCTCGAGTGTTACAAGAAATTAATAATATCAATGATTGCCATATTTCTGTCAGTATCGTTCAGAACGTATTACATAGTAACGATTATCATGGAAGAACTGCGCGTAAAAAGTATTGGGTAAATGATATTGATAGAAAAAAAGATTAGAATTCGCAAAAAAATATATTAATGAAAAAAATCATTTTTGGCAAACTGTTATTTACTCAGATGAATCGAAATATAATATTTTCAAATCGGATGGACATCATATGGTATGGAGAAAACCTAATATGGAATATAAGAAAGAAAATTTATGTCCAACGGTAAAACACGGTGGTGGGTCAGTTTTTGTATGGGGTTGCATGAGTGCTTTTGGGGTGGGAAAACTTGTATTTATTGATGGAATTAGGGATCACAAAACGTATATTAATATTTTAAAAGAGAATCTTCTCTCTAGTGCAGCTCAAATGGGTTTTAACAATAATTGGATATTTTTACAAGATAATGACCCTAAACATAAAGCATGGAATACTAAAGCATGGATCCTGTTTAACGCTCCAAAATACCTAGAGATTCCTCCTCAATCACCTGATATTTATATTATAGAGCATGTGTGGGATTATCTCGATAATAAAATTCGAAATCGACCAATTTCGAGTAAAGAAACACTAAAAATTGCGCTTCGCGAAGAATGGGCATTGATACCGTCTTCTTATATTTTCAAACTAGTTGATTCGATGCCGCAGAGACTCCAAGCTATCATCAATGCTAACGGTGGTCCAACAAAGTATTAATATTTTTTTAATATTCATTTACTTACAAATTTTATAAGTGTACGAATACTTTTTGTTTGTCATTATTTGCTTAGTTAACGTAAAAATATTTTTATGTTGTATAATTTTTTTTTATTAAAAACAAAAATTATCATAAACAAAGTGCGGGAATGTTAAAATATTTAATAGTATTGATTTAAATTAAATAAATAGAGGAAAGTCTATCAAATTCGTATTTTTTTATTACAACCCTAGGTGTACGAATACTTTCTACACTCACTGTAGCTAAAATCGGACATATATTACGATTGACAATTTTCACTTAAAGCATTAGGTGGTCAAGTTACACCTCTCAAGATGCTGCGCCTGGGTGACTCGTCCACGCCCCTTATATCCCTCTGATTTAGGGGTGCTGTGAAAAATAAATGACGTTTTCGTGGAAAACATGCGCCACAGATTCGACCCGCGCTTACCCTATTTTTTTGTTTGAAATCTATATTTGATGGAAATCGGTTGAACAAATTCCAGGTTTTGCGTAGGCTTTTTAGAATGCTAATATATTTTATGTGCGTGCAAGGCAGAAATTTTTCCCAATGGAAATACCTTCGATCTCTATTTAGTAAGTATTTATATGTAGCTATTTTTAAAACAAGAATATTAATTTTGTAATTCCAGATGTTTAATTACATGATTGTAGAAGTTGTAAAATCTTGTAATTGTATTTAATAATAATAATATAGTATCTAAATATAAATATAAGATATGTATATATATATTATAAACGAACGGACGGATAATGACAATCGGACAGAACAGTTATTTACAAGACAAACATGCCTAGTTTTAAATGATCATGGATGGGATATTTAAATTATTATTTATATTAACTGTTGCCCCGCGATTTCGTACATATGGATTTTGGTTAATTTTCAAGCAGAATTACTGAAGAAAATCAGTGGTTTGCTTATTGAGTAAATAATTCCTTGAGATATTGCTTACTTGCATCACTGTGTGTGTGATAATGTGGTACTGTGGTGGAGTATGGTGGTGATGGACATATTAAATGTTAACATATTATGTATAAAAATTTTGTGATATTAAACACTGTATTTTTTGGTACTATAGTCAGAATTAATTGTGTATCTCTTGTTTACAAAGAAAGACATTTGCTGACACACAATTGCTGTCATTACTATGACAATAAAATTTTATGATATCGTGTTGTGCTACGAGTAGGTACGTTGTTGTAAATTGTAGAAGCGCCCCCTAATTTGTAAATATTGTTAGATGGCGCTATCACTATGATATTAATAATTATTTACAACAGCGCCCTTCGAATTGCGTATTCGAAAACAAGGCAATTGGCCTTGATAGGCTCTAATTGGTTCAAGACTTCACAAAATTAACTTAACGAAAGTAGGTGTACTTCCAATCAGCGTAAAATGTCATCAACAATGTTGGATTCACAATAATTACTGATTTTGCACAGCAAAAATAACGATGTCGCTCTTAACAAAATTGATCCAAACCGTTTAATCAACACGGAAATAGATTTTATCGACTGTAAAAAATACACGAGGATTAGAAATCTCCTCATTTTTAGAAGTAACTTCATTCATTTTTATTTTTTACGAAATTTGACAAAATAAGGTACTATAATTGAGTTATTTAATAAAAAATGACTTCAAGGACACAATCAAATAGGACCAAATCAAAATAATATATTATTACGACGCAATTCCCAATTTTTCCCAATTTATTTAATCCCAATTGAATTGTATCAAAGTCACTCCGCGATGGATATCAATCCTGTACCCAACAAGATAATAAACCTTATCGATTGAAAATAATCAAAATTATTTCACAATTGCAAATATATTGTGTACGCAACATGCATTAAAATAGGTAAAAATATTCTATAATTACATAAGATATCAAAATTGGCACAATGTTACTAAATTTAAAATGTGTGAACATAGGAAAAAGTAAACAGTTATTTTTTTAAGAATGTAGTTATAATATGAACATACACATGTATATTTTAAAGCTCTTTCATTTTGTTTGAAAAGTGAAATGTTTATAATACATGTAACATGTATCTAACAGAATATTTACAAAATGACTACATTTCTCGATTCAACCTAACATATTCTGGTCGTGGAAAATTTCCAGACTTTTTTTTTGTATAATCTACTATGATTTTGTGGATCATCTAGAGCAAAATGTGGGCAAAATTTTAAGATTTTATTACATTTTGCTTTTGAACACTGAAACGTGACAACGTCCGTGTTATTTGTTAGGTTATTTGTCAATTTTCAAAAACAAACAATCCTTAAAGTTTATGAAGACGAAAAAGTTAGGATGTTTGCTAATCAATCAGGCTTAAACAGCTGAATGTATTTAAATATAATTTAGTACATATCCAAGTACTCATTTATATTAAAATACATTCAGACTAAAAATAAATAATTAAGACTTAGAAAATCTGAGAACTAGATCCTCTTCTTCTTTCTAAATGATGGTCATATATATATTTTAAATGTAATCGTATCGTAAAATGTAATTCGTTCTACAAATATAGAAAAAATTTAACATAAACATTTGATTAGATAATTGAGCTTAAGCTCTGAGACTTAGTAATTCATTTACATGCAATTAGTTCTGTAACTATCAATCAAGTTAGATTATAAATTTTTCGTCATTTTTAGATTCCAGTTTCTTTACAAAAATATTAGGTTTCATAGAGCACTTTCTTGAAAGGATGCTAATTGAATTAATGTAGATTAATGGTATACGAAAAGAGGCAAAAATTAAAAATAGACATTCCTTCTGTAACGATGAAAATAAACACAGTTATATCTAATACTAGCTTTTATCCGCGAGCTTACGGACCAGGTTAAATCGCCTACATCCTTATCCAATATCCTCCTTCCTATAAAATACGTGTATAGCAAATTCCAGAGTGATTGTTTAAGCCAATAAGGCGTTATTAGGTAAAAAATTAATAAACAAATTCACTTTTACATTAATAATATGAGTAAAGATTATTCTAATATTGTATCGCTTGGATGAAAATATGCCAGCAGCCAGTGTGTAGTCGAAAACTTATGCGTACTTGTAGTTCGAATAAAACTAATGGCAAATCCCTTGTCCAATTTGCCGTGTCAATGTACCTATTAATGTCGTCTTCATTGTTCGTCTGTGAGATTATACAGGGTG